CTCTCCAGAGGAGCTGAGGACCTAACCCATCAGCAGAAGGCATTTTGCTGTACGCTGCCAAAGTGAGACCTGGAGAAGCTTAGCAGCAGCAGAACAGGCTGCTCAGCGAACAGGGCAATGGTTTGCACTACAGCAGGGATACATGTGAGCAACAACCATGGGTCACTGCACACCCCACCATATTCCCAGTGCTGCACGGGTGCAAAGGTCCTGTGCTCCTGCTGATGCAAATGAACGTCTGCACAAGGCAGGGCATGGAGGGAGACATTCTGCCCATGCTTGCAACCTTTTTCCCCCTCCGCTGGCCACAAAGCAGCCGTGATGTCTCTATGGAAGAAACACCAAATGCACAAGTGCTGGATAAAGCAGGAATCTGGGCTTGAAAGGATGGGACTGCACTATATTCCAAGCTGAGCCTTCAGCTGCATACTTCCAGCCTTCACACTGTGGCCTGCAGCAGGCTATACAAGCTGCCTCAAACAATACTGCAGCAACCCCACACATACACATGAGCACAAACACCACCACTCCCCATCCCCATTTCAATCAGTCTTGGGTGGATTGCTATGCGGTAGCCTGGAGTGAGCCACGGGGCCCACAGGGTGCCTTTTCCCTCTGTAAATGTGATCATACTCACAAAGCTGCTTGGGCTCCTTGCCTTTAGAAGATGGAATACTTGGAAAGGAAAGCACCAGAGGGAAGAAAACCAGCTCCATACGTCTCCAGTGCTTCAGATTCAGAAGATTCCAGGGGGAACGGTTGGACTTGATGATCTTGGAAGTCTTTTCCAACCTAAATGATTCTATGATTTAGGATTTCCTAAGCAGGTTGCTATAGTGACCCTGCAGAATATTTTCTTCAACACACTGTTGTACTGTAAATATTTACGTACAGCCTAATCCTGCCAAATTGTTTGAAGACAAAGGAAAACACAGCGTGTCTTTGCTTTATGTCCAACCTTCCAGCTATTTTAGCATCGAGAACAAACTCTCAACTAACAGCAGCAGCTAACGACGCCTTTCTCTGGGCTTGCACGCCCTCAGGCCTAATAATGGGTCATCTATTAGCTTTAATGAATAACAAAGCTATCCGATTTACTGGTGTTAGCTGATTTCACGCATTTCTGAGTAAATTCGGAGGTAACTGAAAGGCTGGGGCTTAGCTCAGGGGCCAGACACCCAGTTGGTACAAATCAGTGTCACTTAATAGAAGTAATAAAAATGTTGATACTGGGGCAGGACTTTACAGATGAACAGATTTCTTTTATAGTCTTCTTAATCTCAAGACTTAATGGAATGATTTAATCTTTTTAAGATAACATATGTCACAAGAAATACATGGGTTTAATCCACATTCTTCTGGATTCCAGCAAGACAGACCAACAGTCAACGGAATATAAAAGTATTTGTTCATGGTGTTGTTTTAAACACTGTAATGTTCCTAGCTCAACGTTAACAGTAGTATGATTTATGATTACAGAACACATACATAGCTATCGAATGTCTCCCGTGCCTCTACTCTGTTTCTAAGATACTAAAGCAAAGTCCAGAGCATAACATAATTTACAGCACTATAAAATCTTTTACAACTGAAGCACAGTGAAAGCTTAATATCCAAGACCTTTTGTAATATGACTATGTCATCTTGTTAAACTTTATTTACGGGAACACTAGGGTTGACAAGAACATTCTTCATGTCACTTCCTTAACGATTATCAGTATCACCTTTCTCACTTCGTGGTGCTCATAGGACGAGGGCTCCCTTTCAAAAACATTGGTTCACACAGATAACAGACTTGTATCCTCAGTTAATGTTTTCATTACGGCCTTAGATCGCATGCCCAAGATCGTGAGCTCTTCTTTCCTAGCACAAATTCACAATGCTCTATCCGAAACGACAGATTCAGACCTAAGCCAAGCTCTGAAGCACCATTACACGAACCTTCAGTGGGGTTTTTTTTCCCCCCAAAAATCTAAACCAAAACAAAATCTTGCAGTTCTTGGATCTGAATTCTCCTTCAGTTCCGCTTTTAGGATTTCAAAAGAGGTTATACACCAGAAAGGCTTTATTTTGTCAAAACCCTTTACATGCCGGAGGAGACTGACTGGCACTGTTAATTCTTGTCATTTCTACTGTTTGGGAGACTGAGAAATCCTGGGAGCCAGACACTTTGGGAGGTTTCCATTATCTGGAGCACAATCAAGTTGACCTTATGCCAGCCTGATCTTGGCACACCCCCATACGAATGCAAAGCTCTGATTAACTCCGGTGTGGCTTAAAAACCAAACCATCCTCTCTGGTTTTACCTTAGCCTAGCACCCTAGGGTTGGAAAAGTCTCCTTGAACTTTCATTTTGATGTAGAACAAGGAAGAAAAGGTTTAAAAAAACCTAAAAATCTTACAATTTTAAAACCACTTGTGCACCAGTCCCTTCCAGCAGCACTGTGTCCCATCCCCCCCCCCCACTCCTGCAACTTCATTGTACCACAGGAGAACTTCTTATTCAAGAATCTCTGGATAATTTATAATTAATAGTTTATAACCCCATCATCTCTGGACTGAGAACATTAAAAACTAATCCTGGTGTGGTATTACCAGTCAAATACCAGTTTAGGAAGGAATATGTTTGGAATAAAAGGGATACGAACAGGTAGGTAGGCACATTTTCACCCTCACAAAATGACTTCTTCATACTTTTCTGGCACGGAAAGGGAGCCTTAAAATAGAAATAAATTACAACCCCTTTTCTGTTTGGTTAAAGTCGCCTTAGAACAAACGAGAAACAGGCCTGCATATCTTACAGGCATGGCAGCTAAGTCTGAAAACACATCTCAATCTAAGCGTAATTTCCACTAAGTTATCTGATTCCTCAGGCTTGCTATTAGTTGAGAACATTTTCCTATCAAGAAATTTGGTACCACACTCATGGTCTTTAATGCAGACTGGCCAAATACGTTACACAAAACACCTACGGACTCTCAACATCTCTGCTCATGCTGTGGAGTGCCTAAAACCATGAGCAGTGTCCTGCAAATAAAAAGGGCTCCTTGCACAGAAGGGTGTTACTAACCATGAACACAGGTAGCAGGTTCTGTGCTGTATTAGCCAGGGCTCTACAGAATTAAACTAACATCAAAATGTGTAATTATTACAGTGGCCAAATACACACGGAGCCCTGCTCGGTATTAACAGAAACCTGCACTGTTACATTTCCTACCACTGTCCTAAGCTTCTCTCCCTGAGATTCCTTATAAACATGACAAGCCTCTCAAAACTTCATCTTGTCCTGATAGGGCAGCTCAATCTGGAATCAACCAGCACCACAGAAAAGCTTCAGCCCTCCTGGCACTTCCTCAACAAAGGACGTGTTTGTACTATTGATCGTACTGCTGAAAATCATTCTGCTGCGTTGACAGGCATCACTCAGCGCAGATTGTGATGAAAAGCTGAAAATTAGAACGTTAAATGAACACCTGCAACAATTTTCCTGCCAATTTTACAACAAAATAAATATGGAATTATTCTGATAAGTGGGTCAAATTCATCCCTGGTGTCATGGCCCCTTTGAGGTTAGCAGTGCTACGACAGGAATGAATTTGGCTGCTGTGTCTCTTTCGCAGAGCAAATGCTTCAGTGAACTTTTCAAACCGCCTGTGCCAACATTCATCTTCATTTAGAGCCCATCTTTCCCTCCTTACGGAGCTTTTCCAGCAGAGCCATAATTTTCCTATCAACTCGCAGTCAATTACGTTGACAGTTTGACATGAATATTGTGCGTACACAAAAATGATTTGCAAACCAGCTTTCAATTGTTAGACTTAAAAGTCATTTCCATCATCCACGATTGTCTTTGATGTGTATAATTCCCCAAGCTATCCTTCCGGGAAGAATATGCATCCCTTCGCATCACAGCAGTTTGAAGAGCATTCTATATACCTGTGGTGCTGGGGAGACCTTATGGCAAAGATACTGTTCTGCAGCTTTGTTTTCATCCAATTTTTGTTTCTCTTTTTCATTCTATTGCTAGCAAGCACAAATGCCAGTTTTCCAATGTACAGATGCTTACATTACAAGAAATTCCTGTCAGTCCCAGGAAACCCATGGAGGGTTATGGCATCTTGGTTTGATTCCCCCCAACACATGTTTGGGCAGGTTCTGATACACAACAGCAGAGAAGTACAGGGACATGACAAAAAGTGTTTTCCACAAACCTGATTGTGGAGGCAATCATGGAATCAGCCAGGTTGGAGAAGCCCTTTAAGCTCATCCAGTCCAACCGCTCCCCAGCACTGTCAAGGCCACCACTGACCCACGTCCCCAAGTGCCACATCTGTATGTTTTCTGAACACTCACAGGGACGGTGCCGGCAGCCTGTTCCAATGCCTGAGCACCCTCTGGGGCAGGAATTGTTCCTCAGCTCCATCTAAACCTGCCCTGGGGCAGCTTGAGGCCGGTTCCTCTTGTCCCATCCCTGGTTCCTTGGGAGCAGAGCCCAGCCCCTCCTGGCTCCATCCTCCTGTCAGGCAGTTGTAGGCAGCCACCAGGTCCCCCCTGAGCCTTCTCTTCTCCACACTGAACCCCCCAGGTCCCTCAGCCGTTCCCCATCACCCCTGTGCTCCAGGCCCTGCACCAGCTCCATTGCCCTTCTCTGGCCTCACTCCAGCCCCTCAATGTCTCTCTTGTAGTGAGGGGCCCAGAGCTGAACACAGGATTCGAGGTGCAGCCTCACCAGTGCCCAGTGCCCTGGCCCTGCTGCCACACTGATGCCAATATATGCTCCATTAGACTTCCTTATCCCCATTACAGCCTGCTCACACCTATGGATGTCCAGCTACAACATTTATTAGCTTCAGAAGTCACCCACGAAGCAAAAACCAGGCAGCAGATCACCATGTTCATGATTTCCAGGGCCACCAAGCCCCATTTTCTGCACATTTGCCCTTTCAAACCTCAAAATACAGACAGTCTCTGATTTTAAGTTCTGAGAAAGACCACTTTACCAGCTTTCGGTGTGCGGGTCGTGTTCTGCAGGTACTCTCCACTCTTGTACAGCTCCAAGACTCTCTCTAGCTGAGCAGCCGTCTCATCTATGCCCCAGTGAAGTTCTCCTTTAAAAGCACAGAAAACAAATGAGTTAGACCAAGAAGACCCCACACAGGACAAAACAAGGCTGCATTCAAATAAAGCCCTAATCAGAATCGGAGCCCAGCAGTGCCCCGCTCTTTGGCAGCATTGTGATGTGGACCCTGACTTACCTCAAATAGGGTTTCAAACGTGGCATGAGCCAGGCACACTGCAGAAGGTATAAAACAATGCACTGAAAACCCTCAAATCAGATTTACAGGACATACAACTACTCTCGTCCTGTAGGCACTACCTTAGTAAAGATCTATGGTAACATCACCTGCCTCTGACTTCTCAGATATAAAAGCACCACTGGCACCATTGGCAATGGGGAAGTAACCTGCTTTTGTCACTGAAATTCCACTTAGCAGAGACAGGGGTTCCTTTAGATCCCACAAGGAACTGCATTCTGATGCTGTTCACCCCAGTGCTGAGGTGCCAGGAGGAAGCAAATACCTCTGTAAAGCCGAGATAAAGCCTCCAACGGGATTTCTCTGGTATACGGGGCCATTCTTGTCTTTTCTGTATGAGGGAAATAGTCTCCTGGGTAGAAAACCAATCTGGTTCTATTGCAGTGAAAATAAAAGCAGCATCTTTCCCATTGCAAAAGGAAAAGGAAATGCTCCTCATGACCGTGTTTAGTGTGATTACCTGTTGCATTGACTATCTTATCCAGTAATGGTTTCAGTGAGGATGGAGCGCTGTGTGGAAGAAGATACGTGAAAAAGAACCTGCAATGGAAAAGTAACTCATATTGAGAAAGTCAAAACGAGAGATTATAAACATCTGGTAACTACTGAACAATGTCAGGGATACAATTCCTATTGCTTACAAGCCTGTTCAAGGAATGTGATCATATCCTATACTCAAATAAATATATAGCTGAGAGCATTCACCCAGCTGCCTGGCAGACCTAGACCATGCTGCCTTATAACTACATGCAACTGTGCCATTAACAGAGAAGATTGCCGTGAAGCCCATTGGACTGTGACTATTTGTAAAGCCGTCTGTACTTTAACAAACTAAAAGGATGCTCTCAAGCCCAAAGGCCTTGTGGGGGTTTTTCAGATCCATTTTCTGCTCATTTCAAACAACTGGCTGTTAGTTTCCTGTCTATAGTTTCCTTAGACTTACACATGAATCACCAGGAGAAAACCTTCTGCTATTGTTTTAATGCCACTGCAATTCAGAACGTCTTCTCTTTTCCTCATCATTTAACTTAATTCAAAATGCATTCATGTAGATATTCATTCATGGGTGCACATTTGCCATTTTAGCGTTTTTAATTGCAAAAGAACAAACAGCATGCCTTCACCATCACTTCAAGTGCACTTCATTTTCACACTTTTCCTTTAAATTTCTATTACTCTGCCAATAATACTTACTGATTGCAAATGCAGTGTCATAGAAACCTAAGATGGAGATGGACAGTTTGGGATCTGACTATATATATATATATACACACAACTATTAGGCATTAATATTTGGTAATGAGCAGAATGGGAACACAATTGGGAAGTTGCCCTGCTTTACTTCTAACCTGCAAAGTAAAGTAAATGGGTTTTCATATACAGAGGCCACACTGTCAAACAGAAACCTCCAGGGACTGATGCTCAGGAGGGAGACTAGAAGACATCTTCCATAAGCACACATTAAAAATTAAGTTACTGATAGCAAAAATTGCTCACAGACACGGGTATTACTGAGCTGACATGTTTTATTTAGACAGTGAATATTTCCTTGAGATTGCAACTCCTTTTTTCATCCCTTACAAAAATAGTATTGACAACTTTCCCATATGAGATTAATCCCTAGATAGGTTTTCTTAACAGTGAGTATGAAACAGCCAATATAAATACATCTAGAAATCTAAAGAGCAACATAACATAGAATCGCAGAATCCCAGACTGGTTTGGGCTGAAAGGGACCTTAAAGCTCATCCAGTTCCAGCCCCCTGCCACGGGCAGGGACCCCTTCCACTGGAGCAGCTTCCTCCAAGCCCCTGTGTCCAACCTGGCCTTGAACACTGCCAGGGATGGGGCAGCCACAACTTCTCTGGGCACCCTGTGCCAGCGCCTCAGCACCCTCACAGGGAAGAGCTTCTGCCTTAGATCTAACCTGAACTTGCCCTGTTTCAGTCTGAACCCATCATCCCTTGTCCTACTGCTACAGTCCTTGATGAAGAGCCCCTCTCCAGCATCCTTGTAGCCCCTTCAGACACCGGAAGCTGCTCTGAGGTCTCCACGCAGCTTCTCTTCTCCAGGCTGAACAGCCCCAATGTTCTCAGCCTGTCTCCACAGGGGAGGTGCTGCAGCCCCAGAGCATCCTCGTGGCCTCCTCCAGGCTTGCTCCAGCGGCTGCATGTCTTTATGTAGGGAACATCAGCACTGCACACAGTGCTGCAAGTGGGGTGCAAACACCCACGTACGAAATTCTGGCACATACAGACACTGGCTCCTGCACAACTTAGCTGCAGGAACATTTGTTAGCCATTGATTCCAGGGCCAGTGGCATCTTTTGTGGTCTGTATAACACAGCTTCCCAGACCCTACAGCCTTTTTCCCTCCTTTCTTTTTTTCTTTCTGTGAATTAACTGACTGAATTAGAATTAGAATCGTCAATGCTGGAGAATTCACCTCAACCATTAGCTAACAGTTCAAAACATTAATTACCCTTACTTTTGAAGCTGTCCAGTGCTTTGAAAACTGTTCCTCCAAACATCTGCAGGAAAACCCATGGAGACACATTTGTGACAGAGGGTAACCATTCAAAAGTCAAGAAGAGCCAGTTCTTGCATAATAAGAGTTTTCTTACTGAACAGTTTCCCTCCTTTAATTATTTACCTCATAAAGAACCCAGCTAGATAGCTTTCATTATGCTGTCAAGGTTAGGGCATGCTATATTCTAAAATCACAAGCGGTTTATGCACTGTTTGACATACTGCTGCTTTTGATTTCTACCTAACACCACTAGCAACCCTTTACTGAGGGCAGTCTCCAGCTCTGCAACACCAGAGTGCATCCAACTAGAGACATCCAGCAAGACCAGCAACCTGCCGCAAGCCCACCGCATCGCGGATGCATCCCCACTTCAGACCAGGATGGATGGGTGCCTATTAAAGGTTTCTTATTTGGTGTATTTTACTGGTCTTAACCAAGAGCTAGGAAGCTAAGCCAGGTCTTTAAGCCAAGCAAATGGAAATGGAAAATTCTGCAGGACACACTAAAATGTGCACTGCAAACTGCAGATGGCTGTCATGTGGTGTGGCCCATTTCAGTGTGGTCACCTAATGCATCACACATGCTGGTGAGTGCCCTGGGACCAAAGCAGAAGACTCTTCTTTGGAGCAGCCTCTCCTCGCTGTGGTCTGGCAGGCAGTGAATGGCGTGATACTTGAAAGGGAAGTCTAAGAAATGAGCACACCATTATAGCATTGCTTTGAGATCCTTCATCCTCCTATCTGGATCAGACGAGGCAGGAGCCTGCCCCAGCACGAGGAGCATGGCACTGAGCATCAGCTCTCGGCTCCCCTGAAACAGGAAACACTGCTCCCCCAGCATCCCACACAGCCCTCCAAGCGGAGCGATGGCCAGTGGGGGAAAGCTGAGACCACAAGCACAAAGCCATCACCCAGAAGGACTCCATGGGAAACCCACAGAAACCTTTAAAGCCAAATTTGGAAGGTGGATGTGTCAACTGAACACCTTCTTCAGCACGGTCCACTGTGACCCATCACCCGTGCATCCCATCACTTACAGCAGCACCAGGAGTGAGTCCCCCAGTGCCTGCCCATGCAGAGAGCAGGGGAGTGGGGTGAAACTGAGCTCCCGTTGCTTTGAAAGGTTTGGGATTATACCCCAGATCATCAGTGACTGACATCAGGGCCTGTTATCACCAAACCATGGCAGGGTCTGGCATGCGGGTTAAGCTGCAGCACAGGATGAGAGTTGAGCTCTAGCTCTGCCTCTGAAGCCAGCCCTTTACTCAGCTGGTGGTAGAAACCATGGGATGATCCTTCTTAACTCACACCTAAGAAATGCCCCAATCATCCCAGCACAGAGCTGGCGGGCCCCCATCTCCACAAGCACCTCTGTATCACTCCTGTGAAAATCTCTACTCATGGGAAGAACTCAATGGGTTTCAACCAAAGCAAATTTAGACCGAGCGGTGAATCACACCCCAAGTATGCAAAACATTCCCAAAGTTATAAATGCAACGTATTTTCACAAATGAAACCATTATTCATGGCTTCACTTACTCCTGGGTCACGGTTCTGACACAGTATGTGCTCACTGGTGTGAGTAACTGGAAAAGATGCTGGGGACTTTTGGCTTGCTCCTAATTCTCTGCCTTATCTGATCACGTACCTGTAGGCGTTGTAGAGATTCCTCTTTTCATTCATATTCTGACACCGCCCCTCAACTGAACAGGGCAGGGTGAAGTTTCTTGCAGGGAATTCCATGAAGCAGTCGCTGTTACTGGCGCAAGAGCTCTCCTCGATGCTGGCATCGTCCAGATCGGTGACCTTCAGCTCCCCATCCACGATCACAAACTGCCGGGGCCGAAAATCCAGTAACGTCACAGAGCCAAGCGGAGAGTGAGCCAAATAATGCAGCAGCCGAACTAAGCTGAGACAGATCTGAAATGCAAAAGATGTGGGTACCTTATGTTATCTTCTCCATGCAAAGTGTATAAATGAAAGCACTTAAGCTGAGTACATGACTTATCATAGGCATTATAACTTATCCTCCAAACCGAATGTTGCAACTAAGGTATTTTTCACAGGATTAACACAGTTGATTGTAAAACCCTTAGAGACCTGAAAGGAAAACAAGCTTCTTTAGCAGTGCTTTCCCACACTATCCTTGAAGCAGGGCTCATTGTTGCTATTCTTGCTTTTAACAGAAATAAAAGCATTAACTTTTAATAACACATTACACACAAGCCTTAACCGCACAGCCTCATTCTGCTCCTTTACAAATGCCAGGTCTGGAAGTTTTGGCTGGACTTGCCCTGCACCCATGTCTGGAGCTCCAGCGGGTGTCTGTATTGCCTCTGTGCTGATCCTGCCTTTTGACTGCTTTGGCTCCTATCCTTTTTCCCACTGGTTCCCTCTGGTTTGCCTTTTCCCATGGAAGGAGAAAGCAGATCCCCAGAAGAGGAGCTCCACAGCTCCCCTGGAACTCCTCAGTGGGGTAAGAGCCTGTGTCCATCCCCCTTGGTGGGCCCTCATGCACCTCTTTGAGGCAGGGGTGGGAGCTCTGCGCTGATGCTGCACTTTTTAAATGCAGGTTAGAAACGTGAGTAACTCTTACAGCCAAGGGGATGACCATCGAGCTCAGCCCTCTTTCCAAAGTGCTGGTTTCAATTCATGCATTCATTTAGTCTGCTAATGCTGCAAACGCAGCATTAATATGAACATAGTTAAATACTGGAATTTTTATTCTATGTGCTAAATTAACAACAGGTCTTTTTCAGTCTAGCAAGCTTTTTATTGTTCATATATAATATTTGTTTTCCGTTCAAAAACACTGTCAAAGCCACTGGCACTGAGTTAGTCAAATCCAAATTCAACCTCAGGGCATAAATGGCATACTAAGGGCAGCACCAAAACACATCCTTCATAAGAAGCTGAAGTTACCGCTCAGAGACAACCTGTGTGCAGTCTGCTGCCCTGTGTACCTGCTGCCAGGCTGGGGCAGCCAATGCTCCTCTACAGCAAGCTTTAAGCACATAGATGAAGGCCTTGCTCTGTATCACAGAGCTCCTGATATGGGGAGCAAGCTCACTGCCAAGGCCTTCAGCACAAGGGAATTTATATTTGGAGGAGGAAGGTCAAGTATTTATGCAACCATTTTCAGTGCTGAACCACAAACATGTCTCACGTTATCAAGAAGACAGGCTTTTACTTCTTCTATGCGCTAGTGGCATCCTAGGCAAGCTAACGAGCATGCCATTATCTAAGACTTCATTACAGCAGTCACAGGAACGGTTCATTTTAACTCCACCTCTGTGAATCAGCTCAGCACCTTCATCTAATTCTCCTTCATCTCCCTCTGCAATTGCTCACCCCAAAATATCCACGCTAAAAGGAAACTTCCCTGCTTACAATCCACAATTTAACATTTCTTTTGGTCATTTACTTCACACGTAATCACTGCCACAGTCCACTGTGTGCATTCCCTGGACAAGCCAAAGGCAGGCACTGTATTTTGGGAGCTGTGAAAAGTACCTCTACTGCTTAATGAAGACCACACTTCTTTTGGGGAAAAGGAGGTGAAGCTTAGCACAGGGAACACACTTGCTCCATCTGTATTAGATGGATGGAACATTCCTGGGCAGAGAAACTTAACCCCGCACGCACACTTGCTAGCACCAGGACCAAGGCTGCTCTGCACCATCCCCAGACACCATCCAGGGGCTGTTTCCAGTGGGCATTCAAAGGGTGCAAGAACTCAATAGTACAGAACGGGCTGCACATTGCCAGTTCCTCTCTGAGATCAGTCAAGCACACTTTCAATTCTCTGGTACAGATGTAGCCATGTAATCCAAAGTGGTTTAGATAAAGGCTGCTGCTGCCTTGCAGCATCTTAGGGAATTAACCTTCAGCTGACAACACATCCCCATATACACTGAGCAAGGCAGCGCTGTCTTGATCAAAGCACTGCTGCAGTCTGGCTTCATTTTGGACAAATTAGGTGTGATCTTCATGCTCCAACACGGCAGACAACCTGGGTTTGAGATCTGTGTCCGCTTATTTCACCCGTCCCCAGTAAAAGATGAACAGAGCAGGAAACAGTAGAAAACAATTATACAACCAGCCTATGATAAGGATCGGGGGGGAAACGTAACATCCTTCTATTGTTCCAATCCCAGTTGCAGAGCACAGTGCTCAATGCCAAAAATCCTGTGCCCTGAGCTTTAACAAGTAAGAAATGTTTGAAGGTACCACATGAAAAGCATAAAACCGGCTATAATTAAGACAACATCGACAAACAAAATAACAGTATCTCAAACACTGCAGAAAGGGAGTGTTAAACACCGTTTCTAACCCAATATGTGATCATATGCAAAGCAAACACTTAATAACGTGAGCTGCACTGCACAGCGCACAACCCCTGCTTCATGCTCCAAGTTATTCTGTGTTCATGGCTCTCCTAAAAGTCCTTTTAAAACAGTTGTTACTCACTCGAAATCTGTCTTCCCAGGATGTCTGCAAAAGCTGGATCATCTCTAATGGCGAGCCCAGCTCAGTGATGGTCGTCAGTGTGTCTGGGATGTCATTGCTGTCCTGGTAGCAATAGCCATAGAGCTGAAAAAAACAAATCACAACCATTCACTATCAGCGTAACATATCTTGCCATGCTTTTACGTTTCTTCATGGATGAAGTGCAAAGTAAGCAGTGTGTATTTCAATGACACCATAGCTTGAAAAACAACTGAAATACCAAAACTTTCCCTTTCCCAGCCAGAAATTGCTTCTCACTACATCTGATGGACTTCTGCGTGCAGCATCATTAAAGATGGGCAAATACCCCAAACTATTATCTGCCAGTAGCTTCTTCAGTCTAAAAGCATTGAAATGGCAATTTCAGCTATGCTCCAGCTCCTTCCTGTGCTTGCTTTCCAAGGACATTTGAATGATTAATTTGGACTTGCACAAGAAGAGCATTTCAAGCCTGTGGAGAAGTTATGTCTCGCTTTACATGGAGTGTGACTAGGTCTGACCAGGCTGGGGACAGGCCTTTACATGCTCCCTGCCAAGCCCTGGCAGAGAGGCAGTTAAATGAGCCCGGTAAGGATCTGACTGCAACTTTCCAGCCAGAACAGCATGCACATGAAGTAAAATTAAGCGTAATCTCTGCCCGCAGTCAAATAAACCATGCAGCAAAGGAGCCTGCATGAAAAGGCGGCATTAACAAATGCCCTGCTGCTATTCCTCTGCTGCTGTGCCCCGAGTTATGTGACTTTTTAAACCTCTTAGCTCTAAAAAGCTTGGGGAAGGTGATGGGGGGGGGGCTCCTCCAGGCTGAGGGGCTTGGACACGAAGCAGAAGAAGCCGTGCTCATGCAGACCAGAACAGGGACTGAGCCCTGATTCAGAGAGCCAGAGTAGTGAGTGCCATCGCTGCAAGAGCGGGTTGAGGCTGAGCACAACCACGGCGAGCAGATTCAATTACCAAGCACATTCTTACTGCCTGCGACCCTGCCAGGCAGAAGAGCAAAGACCAGGCTAAACTCAGCAAATCCAGGGATTTATTAGGAACCATGCTGCTAGCTCTGCCTGCCGCTGTCTACATGGAAAGGTGAAAAGGGTGCCAAAAACCATCCCAGAAGTAAACAATTTTCCTTTTTGGTGTAAAAGCAGCACTGTATTTCCAAGCAGCTGCTTACCACGGATGTTAACCCGCACAGAAACAAGAGCTAGAAGATCTTCTTTTAAAACATGCTGAAAAGATTTTGGCATCGATGCACAACACAGAATTTGTGATAGGTGCCTATAAGAACACTGGAAATAGGAAAAGGGACTTTTCTCTTTACTGCCCCAACCAAGACAAAGACTGCAACAGCAATTACCTCTTAAACTAGAGCCATTCAGACCGGACCTGAGTTTGATCCTTATCATCTGTGACACCATTTTTATGCTGTTTATTGGCAGGAGTTAAAATCTTGGTGTGCTGTGAACTACCCAAGAGGATCACATCATGACGACTCTGTCTGGGCCTTCTGAGCTAACAACACCACGGGACTAAAGGAAACTGTTTAATACAACATTTGTCTTTCCTCAGAGACAGGCTGGATTCTGCAGCTCCTCCTAGGCATCTCCCTGTGTGAGGGCAGATGAAGAAGGCAGGCTGAAGGTCAGCAGATTGAAAGCCACCCCTTTAGAGCATCAAAATCTAACATCCTTTTCTGCATCACCCGCGGAGTTCAGCTCTTGTCTTACCTCAGTAATGCTATCCCTCAGGAAAAATGCCATAAGGGGAACTAGCAAGCAACCCAAACTGGGAAATGACAGTATCGCCCTAACTGTTGGTTTACAGTAACACTGGGTGCAACAAAGGCATCAGTCTTCATTAGGCATTCCCAACGTTTACGGAAACCATTCCACGGACAGAAAAACATAAGACAAACAATTATACATATGAACACATAAGCAGAAATGAATTGCATATCTATCTGTGTCTATTTTATCTCAATCGGTCAATGCCAATAATAATAATGCTTTAGGCTTGTTCTCAGAGAGCTGGAGCTTTCCTTCTAAATAATTCATTCTAGTGTCCAATTTGTACCTCGGCAAAAGTCTTCACTGCCCGAGTAACTGAGTCTTTGGTGCATATTTTACTATATTAGCACCCATTTGATCAGTTCAGTCCTTGTGGAAGCTTAAATGACCTGATCCAGTTTTGGTTTTGTATGAAATCGCTCTTTCTTCGCAGCAGAAAGGGTTCTTGCAGGAGCACTGCTGAACGCCAGTGATCTCACAGCGCTGAGTGAGTTATCGTAGGGCTGACTCAAGAACACATCATCTAACCTGAGCTCCTTATTGCTTTTGCTTAAGTGAAACCTCTCCAGATGCAACGTTATTACATAATTATACAGAGCTATAAAAGCACAGAAGTCTGAGATATAAAGGATTTATTGGGCCGCGTTTATACTTTTCCAAACGAACTCCTGAAGCTAAATGCAAAAATGCACGTGTAATTACATGGCCATATTTGTATGTGCAATTACCATGATTACAAACTAGGCAAGTCCCAACAGCCAGTTAAGCATCTAAAATGGTTACATTCACCCCCTCCTGATGAACCACCACCCAGCATGCAGATGTTTCCCAATACAGAATATATATAGACACATAATACTCCGAGGCAGTAATTCTTCAGCCTTTCGTTTAAGAAGTGGCTTATTAAGACACAGAAACAAGTATAGAGGTTCTACCCAAAATACTTCTTTCCCTCCCCCCCCCCCCCCCTTTTGTTTTTTGTCCAATCCATTTTAAGGTCAAAATGGTTTGTATTCCCAGACGGTGAAGTAAGAAACAGATAGCTGGATGCATACAATAACAAGAAAAACAACCACACGGGGAAACTGAATGTAGCTGGAAGCAAAAGATGAGCCAAAATACCTCCTCTATCTGAAATGCTATTAGGTTGGACATCATTCTCAGCGTCACAAAGCTACGCTTTAGATACATGCGAGAGCGATGGTTTTCATACGCCTTTTCAGCATGGTTTCAATTAAACGAGTGGAAAGAAACACAATCCCACATCTTTTTGCTATCTCGAGTCACTGCATTTAAACACCACCCCAATATATTTGTGCACAGAATCTTACAGCAAACACTCTCGCTACTGGGATGCTCCTCTGTCTGTTCAGAAGGCCAGACACCAGATAGGAAACGCTGACCTGTTCTCACATCGCGCGCTGCAACTCGGTTTGAGGAAACCCTGGTGACTGAATCATTTCTTTCCCCGTTTGGATTTTCTCAGTCACAGAGGCTCAGTCCTGAATCAATCTTTATGCAGCCAAACTCACACTGACTCCAATGATTTCGGGGCACACCGGGCATACAGGGTCAGCCCCTGCGAAGTTATACTGCATTGTAGGAGCCCACGGCCCTACAGCCGGTCAGTTCACCTCTCCTCACAATCCCCTTTTACTACAAATGATGGGGACAGAGGTGACCCTTTCAGAGGAGCCAGGGACGGCAAAAGCAGAGGTCAGCCCTGACACAAAAGCCGACAAGCTTACTGAATAAAAGCACAAAATAAAGGAGCTTATGAAGGCGTCACCAGCGGGGTAAGGCTGTGCAAACAATGCGCGCTCCTGCATTAGCACAGGCACCCTAGCTGGATGCTCAGGAAAACAAACAGCAAGCCAGAACCTCCGCCAGAGTGTTAGGTGCCATTTACAGAGGTTGCTCAGTTGGCAAGGGTACCAGCTGCCCTGGTATGGATCGTGCCACTTCCCTAAGACTTACAATACAGTCAGAATCTTTTCCTCTTTTATGCTAGATTTCAGCCCTTAATGCTCCCATCTTTAGATTTTTCTCTACAACCATAAAACCCGAAAATTTCCCCCTTTTTCTCTTTAATGGACTTGAGATTTCCATGAGTCCAGGAACAGGAACCTTGAGAACACTATTTCCAGCTGTAACAAGTGACAGGCTTAACTACATTACACCAGGGGAAATAAAAAGCTTCCACTGACATTGGTAGCCTTTTAATGAGCCATTTGTTTGAGCTGCTACATGTCAAAAACAGAACAGCACGTGTTTTAGAAGCTCTGGCTACTTTGATAGCAATAAAGTGAATATAATATTCTTTATGCAACCAACCCTTGGATTCACCTTTCATTCATGGAGCACTGGGACAGTCTCTGCAAGAGCTGGACCCCCCCCGCACTGCGTGATACTGCTATGATTTACCAGTACACAGAATCCCAGACTGGTTTGGGTTGGAAGGGACCTTAAAGCTCATTCAGTTCCAGCCCCATGCCACAGGCAGGGACACTTCCCACTAGAGCAGCCTGCTCCAAGCCCCATCCAGTATGGTTCAAGACATTTATGTTACTCTACAATCTATTCATCCCTCGGGTTTTAAATAGTTCCTTTCATTGCTCTTGGTATATACATATACACACATACAGTCACAAGCACATACATATATACATTTGTCTATGTGACATACATAATGTACATGTGTGCTCCTATATACAATATATACACATGATGCTTGCATCTATATTTTAATACATTATATGTACATATTTTAAGATATATACTGCAATATTATTACATATTGCCACAGCTACTCGGTCCAAAAGCATCTACAAGCCTGTAACATGAAACAATGATGAGTTTCTTAGAAGTCCCAACCTTAAAAGTTCAATCCAATGTCAACCTTCCTGCTACAGCATATAAAGAGACAGTGCCTGAGAAGTGAATTGATCTTCCTCATTGAAATCTGGCAATCAAACCCTGCCAGATGCAAAGCTCCACTGGAAGAAGACTTCAGCACAGGGCATCCCCAGCACCGCACCGAACCTTTGAAGAGCAGGACCAAAACTGCCTGTGCTGACAGCTGTGGGGCAGGATTTCCTCTGCTGTGGGATGCTGGAACCGAGAGCGAGCAGCAAGGAATTCAAGTATTAAACTCCAAACCCACAGCTCTGCTCAGGCTTGTGTTTATAAATGTATTATTAGGACTAGCAGTAAACCCCAGAAGGAGCAGGAATCTCACCCCTGGCACCGTCTCTGAACACTGAAGCTCACTAATAGAAAAATGGGAATGTACTATTTAGAAACACA